GGATGTAAAATAAATAAATAATTTTATTAAAAGTCTAAAAAATAGCAATTAAAAATATTTTTCTTTGCTTAGTATATTGCAGTGTGCTTATATTTTCCTCTTGATAATTTATCAAATGATGTCATCAATGATTTTAGCAATATCAACATAAAAAAATCCTTACTAGGTTTTTAAAGTATCTTGTACTACTGGTTTTGAGCATGTACATCTGAACTGCAACTCCTTCCACATCCTTCCACTTTTCCTACTCACTCAACTTTCTGTCTTAAAAAAATTTAATTAATCTCATTCTATTTCATTTTCAACTGTTTGTACTTGACATTAAAAACAAAAAAATGCCTAGCTCTCTAGCATCTGGAGATCACAGTAACCAGACAGAAAACCATGTGGAAATACTCTAGATATAAAATATCAAAGAACCTTGGATCTCAGTCAAATGCTGTAGATTGATTTACACCTCGATGCTGTGTGTTTTTTTTTTATTTCTAATATGCTTTTAGGTGAAAGAAAATTAGACCACTTTCTCCTCCCTTTTCTACTTACAGGTCCTTTTTATACAGGCTGCCAGTAGACCATGTAGGCAGGATGTAAATTGATCTGAACACTCCAGAATATCCAGGTTTTGGTGGGTCTTCCTACATTAAATGATTTGATCAATACAAATCGATATCAAGAAAAAAAAACACCGTCTCTTGGGTTTTAGTTAATTCCAGATGTAGTCAAATTGACAATCAAGAATAGCCCTCACAAGGGATGATCACTTTGTATTAGGTGATCCTTTAGGGAACTCATCACTAAGAGAGACTAATTCATTATCCAGAGGTGGGACTCTTTCAAAATTCCCCACATTCATATCAACATATTCATTGTTCTGTTCTGATTTATGCAGCCATTTCTAGGAGAGACTGTTTCACAGCACACTTCCTGGTATTCTGGATCTCACTGTCTTTCTGAGCCCTCTTCCACACTATTTCTGGAGCCATTGATGTAGGATATAGACGTATCTGTTGGGATTCAGATCCCCATGATCTCTTGATTTTTACATTCTGTCCACTTATGGTGTATTGTGAGTGTCTGCCATTATGGCCGATCACTTGTTTTCTATGTTCTTGTAAATAAACATGAGTAGGTCTTTCTTATTTGATCTGAAATCTAATGTATTGTTCAGTAATAGTAAATAGTTTAATAATAAAATAAATAGTTTAATAGTAAACCAAATCAGGATACATTATTTCCAGGACTGTGAGATCAAAGCAATGATAGGATTAACTACTATGAAGACTGGCAACAAAAATGTGCTTAGTATTATTTGTCATGCAAGTTGTCAACACTGAGATATGTTTAGTATTTAGAGAGCACAAGGAACCATAATGGGTATGGTTCCAAGAAGTGTGTAAAACAATGATGAGAAAAACAATAATATTACATGTAACTTACACATTATATATTGGGTGAGGGAACTGGAGTTGTCAGACTAGTGAAGATTTCCTGTAATGCAGAGGACAGCCCAAGCTCGACAGAGAAACCATTTCTCAAAACACCAAAGAATCTGTACCAAATTGACATTAAATTAGCGAGCACAATACATACCTGTGCTCCAGCTTGACACCATTAAGTAGAATCCCATAGCTAAAGCATATTTTTATGGTGCTAGAATCCAACTGAGGGTCCTCAGCATACTTAAAAGAGGATTTAACACTGAACTAGAGCCTGAGTCTCTAAGACTAGTCTCTTAGTATCTGAACATAATTAATAATGTCAGGTAGACAAAATCAAGTAAACAAAAATCCCTATGATGGGTAATTTTTTTTATATATTCCTGGATTCAGTTAGCCAGTATTTTATTGAGTATTTTTGCATTATGGACTGCTGGCAGTGGTCCAGAGGGTGACTGGTCTAGCGAATAACCTAAGTATCATCATAGACCAGATGCAGGCAGATACAGTGATCCAAGCCAGGCTCCAGACTGAGTTTCGGGAATCTAATTGATGAGAGAGAATCGGGATTCTGCAGGCAGGGACCATTGAGATCCTAACAGGAAGACATGCAGAGATGACCGGCCATACTAGTGGAAGCACATGAACTGTAGAAGAGTGACTGTGGAGCTCCCATGGGACTGGACTAGGTCCTCTGGAATGAAGAATTGCTGTGGGATGTTCTGTATGGCAAATGTGTTGCTGATTAGTCAATAAATAAAACACTGATTGGCCATTGGCTAGGCAGGAAGTATAGGCGGGACAAGGAGGAGAATAAAGCTGGGAAGTGGAAGGCTGAGTCAGAGAGACACTGCCAGCTGCCATGATGAGAAACAGCATGTGAAGATGCCGGTAAGCCACGAGCCATGTGGCAAGGTATAGATTAATAGAAATGGATTAATTTGAGTTGTAGGAACAGTTAGCAAGAAGCCTGCCACGGCCATACAGTTTGTAACCAATATAAGTCTCTGTGTTTACTTGGTTGGGTCTGAGCAGCTGTGGGACTGGCAGGCGAGAGAGATTTGTCCTGAGTGTGGGCCAGGCAGGAAAACTCAAGCGACAAAGGATGGTTGTTTCCCTTCAACTGTTTGTAGGGCAACCAGGCAGGGGGATCTGGATCTGTCCCAGGTGCATGGGCAGGCTTTTGGGAATGTGGTGTCTGTGGTGTGATGCCTTGTGCAGGCTTGGTGCAGTGGGAAGTGGCTAGGACCTGCCTAGAATCCGTGTGCTGGGTACTGCTGACACCCCATGGAAGACCTTGATTTTAGGGATGTGGGGATGCGGGGTGGCATGGGAGGGAAGCCTGGTGGTGGAAAAGGGAGGAGCAGGCATCTATGGGTGGTATGTAGAGTGAGTAGAAAATTTCTTAATAAAGAAAAATGAAAAAAATGACTATGAAAGGAAATGTTCTTTGTGGAATATGTGGACCACAGAATAAAACATAACATAGTATGCCATTATTTATTTAATAGTATTTTATATTTAATAGCAATAAATGAGGTAACATTACAATAGGGAGTACTTAAAAAACACTATAGTGCTGGATTGCAGTTTCCCCACTGGAGAAGAAAGGCCAGACAGGATTTTTGAACGTGCCAGGAGGGTACCGGTATATGAGGGAACTCTTGGCAACATTCACAAAACTTAAACATCCATCCTCACAATCAAGGAACACACCAACTCGGCCCAGTGGCTTCTCTATATAGTGCTGGAGTACTGGGCATGTGGTGAGGAGACTATAATGATTACCCTCCTTCACATACACAAGAAGAAATGCACCTTCAGATTCAATCAGTTGGTTTCTATTTCTTAACAAGGAATCCTTACAGACCCCTACAGCCCAATCCCAAGAGTCCTTCAAATCAATCTCCCAGTAATATTTCCCTGAGATGAAGCTCTGTGATCCCCAGAAAGCCAAATAGCATCCAACAGAATCTGCAGTTGAATCCTGACGGTGAGGTCTGAAGCTGAATCTTCTCATGACATTAAATAGGTTCATCTTGTAATGCAACATCGTTAAGTTACCAAAGAAAATGGGCACTGTGGGAAGAACCAACATTTTAGGTAAAATGACATTTCTCAGGTGAGAGAGGTCCATAGAGTCTTCATAGATTTTAAAAAGAGGTTAAATTTGGCTCAAATACACCAATGTCAAGGATTTCCACAAGAAAAGAGTGGTAGCATGCTGAAAAGACTTTAAATTACACCTGCCTAAGGGAAGATGAGTGCATTGCAGCAAGGGCCAGAGCAAAGGCTGTGCTCATGGATCTACATGAAAGTTATTTTTATGTAGATATAAGTAGTGATAACTTTCATATTGGTGTTTTCATTTGCATCTAACTGAGCATATTTATACTCAGAGAGAATCTAAATATACTCTAGCAGTGGATCCCTGAATGTATCTGTCCTCCTTTAACCTCTGGTTCATCTGATACTCTTTCCCTGTGAGGTGAAAATTGACTTTTAGATCTACAAGGGGGATTTAGACACTGCCTCATGTCCTATCAATTTGTTTCATTTCCATTGCTCATGATACATGGCTTTGTCTGTTAAGTTATTTTATGATTTTTTTGTTCCTTTTGTGATAGGGATTTGCTAATTGTCCTAGACTGGCAAGGAACTCACTATGTTGACCTGACTTCCTCAAACTCATTGACAGTCCTCCACACACTAGGTTTTTGATGCTGGGATTACTAGTGTGCACTTCTTTATCTTGTGTATTTTTTAATCTGTGGAGTAAAATGCGATGTAAGAAATTGATTTCTAACACATTCAAAGGAAAATAATCAAATATCTCCATCACTGGCTACACTTCCTTTGAATTATACTGTCCAGAGTGAAATAACCATTCTACTCAATGAACAACTGACAGTCTCTTTTCTGCCACGATTATATACAACATGATATTAGTATGCATTTCTGTTTGTTGGTTTGTTTGTAAGATGACCTTGTGATTCAATAATAATAGAATGTGACTTACCTAGACATATTTATAGGGAGTTAAAATATTTGTGTTGGCAAGGGATATCTCATTATTGGAGGGTAACTCTCATCATCTTATCAGTGGAGACACTCACCTTGGAACTGGTTGTAACTTTCAGTCAGTCCAGTGATGGGTAGTGCATTGAGCTCTGTCTTAATATCTTGTGGCATGCTCAGCTGCATTGACTCACTTCTGCAAGGAAAAGAAAATATTGTTCTGTGTGGTGCTAAAGATATGACACAGTGATTAGGAAAAACTTCATTCCAAGTTCAGCCAAACACCTCAGGTTACACAAGCCTGACAACTTGAGTTCAATCCTTGGAACCCTTGATGAAAAGAGTTGTTCCCTGAAAGTTGTCCTGTGACCTGCACACATGTGCATGTACATGTACACACACGTAAAAATAACAACACAAATGAAAGAATCCCACACTAAATCAATTGAATATTTTCTGTATAAAAGATATCTGCACTTTCCTAAGGCACGTTGGACAATATTATAGCATATTTCAGGTTATCCTGACTTGCACTGATAGCTAAACTCACCTTCTGAACATGTCGTCCAAACCCTGCAAAAAAAAAAAAACAAGAAATGCTTAGATATCTGAAGAAATGAAATACAATGTTAGCTTCTAATGTTCATATAAATATCAGTCACCATCACACCAATCTATCCTGGTAAATTATATTCATGTCCTAAGACAATGTCAACCAATTTGATAAGCAGAATTCGAATTGCTGATGAAATCAGACTGGAGAGTCAAATTTAGAGAAGGACATGGGTATCGACTGTACATAGCTTTTGAACCCCAAAATGTATACAAGCCATAGGGATACTTTAGCTAAAGATACTTCAAAAGGGTGGCCTCACCCCTGTATGGTGCTTCACATGTGTATTTCAGAATTGCAAGGTTAGAGGCCTGAGCATTACTGTGAGTTGCAAGGTATCATGTACTACCAAATAGGATCCTATCTCAAAATGCCATCCTCCTAAAGGATTCTCAAAAACATAGCGCTCAAACAGAAGAAATTAAGCCATAGGTAACTTTAAAATTGTGCACAATATACAAGTACAGGTAAAGAATGTTGGAAACAGAAATCCCTGAATTTCACTTTTCAGAGAAGCAAGGCACAAAAGCCAAAAGTTAGGACATATTTTCTAGAGAATCTATGGGCATAATTTCAAAGAGATTGTTCTTTCAAGATTATTACAGAATTTTGTTTCTCCAGAAAATTTCTGAAAAGGAAACTCCCCCAAAAATGCAGGATATATTGAAAGCTATCTTAGTATAACAATCACCACTGTGGGCCTCAGACAATAAAGCCTCTTCCTGCACTCCTCCATGCTCACCTGCAGCAGGACCACATATGGCTCCTGGGACATTGTCATTAGCTCCTGATACATTTCTCTTAGTTCTTTGCTCTTTTGGACCATTATTCCCTCACTTCTCCTGAGTTTCTCTAAAACACATTGGCCTTCATTTCTCATAGACTCAATATGTTTCTCTTCCTCTTCACAGAGGAGTGGATGTAGTTTCCTATACTCTGTCCTGATCAATTTTTCCCGAAAATTCAGGTAGTCCTGAAGAAAAAGGGACATTCCCAATCATATTTGCAAAGTATTTTGTCCTCCCTCATTCCATCCTCCTATGCTTAAATTCCACAAATGACTTCTATAACTCTGATGCACATACTGATTGACTGTCTCCACACCTCAGAAAATGTAAATGCCTCGGTTTCATTTATTTCTTCTTTATTAATTACACAGCCAATCCAACCGTAAGATGCATTTACACCTATATTAGAGGTGCAGAGGTGCCTAAAGAAAGGATTGATCATTCTTATGTTCACAAAGATATGAAACTCTGCATGTAGTAATTAGAATTCATGGTGTAGGCATAAAGTCTAACGCAGTGTGCACAACCGTCAGCAATTCACTCATTAGTCCCAGACACATCAGCCAGACACATCAGACCATTCTTTCTGAGACCAGAGACATATTATACACTCAGAATTAGAGGTGAGCAGGACACATATTCCAAGTATCCTATCCTAGACCTTATATTCAAATCTTGAATGGCTAATTTTGAAAATATCTGCATCAAGCAGATTTTAAGCATGGTTCTCATACTCACCGTCCAAAGAGTTCTCATTAAGTTAACTGACTCTAAATTCTCTTGATTTTCTTGGACCTTCTCCCATAAAGATGCCATTTGCTTCAAAAGTCTGTCCTGTAAAAAAAACAATGAATACCAATTTTGAAAAATATAACTGATAGACAGACTCTGGGGCAATTAATACAATTATTCTAGTGAGAGTGACAGCATCAAAATTATCCTTCAATTTTTTCTTTTTGTAACTATGAATTTTAGATAAGAACACAGAATTAGAAAATGCAGTTTACCTTTTGCTCAGGTATACTGATGAAAAATTTTGATTACATGCGTGGCTATACCTGACTCCAATGTACTTTTCTTAATTTAGTCTCCAGCCACAGACACTTTTAAAAGATAGGAAGTTAGTGTTGCACTTTCCAGTGACCTGGGCATAATGCATCATAAAATACAAATGATCTTTACACTCATGGGTCAAGGCATATTTACATTCCTAGTCACCCTTTCTTTATTAGCTGTTATTAAAGTGCCACCATTCTGAAAACAGTGCCTTTGTCATAATGAGGACCAGCATCTTCCTGTGGTTTGCTAAGCCTAACTCTCTCCAGCTTGCAAGTTCTCTCAGAAGCATCACTTACCATTTGATCCTCAGCAGCTGCTTCAATGGGAAAGTGTCTGTGTCCTCTGTGCTCATGGGAGTTAGAGCAGAGTGGACAGAGGAAGATCTTGTTCTCAGCACAGAAGATCCTCTTAGTATCCTTGTGGGTTACACACTTTTGCTCCTCAGAGCTCAGGTCCTTCATGAGGCTGGCTTGTCTGACAATGGACACCAGCTTCTTCAAAGCAATGTTGGTTCTCAATTCCTTCCCATATTGTTCTCTACACAAAGGGCATCGGAGAAGAGGTTGGATGTCTTCCCAGGAAAGGTGGAGGCAGGCTCGACAGAAGCTGTGACCACAGATTATGGTGACTGGGTCTGTCAGGCAACTCAGGCAGATGAAGCAGGTGAGTTCTTTCTGGAAGGCTTGTGAGATGTCTGACTCCATTTTTCTGAAGGAAGAAAAGCAAAAGAATTGCTATTATTTGACCCCAGAGAAGCCAGAAACAACACAAAAACTGATGCAAGTTGTGATTTAATTCTGTTATGGCAAAGAAGGCTTCATTTTTCAGGAACAAAATATCAAGACGAGTATAGGATTGCAGTTCCTGATCTTTCCTCTTTCACTCTTCTTGACAGAAATATAGATTAGTCTGATGTCCTTCTGAGCCATTCCACCTGCATCTTTTTTGGAGACTCCCTTCAAATTGGTGTCTTCATTGCTGGTCTGAGACATGCTTTCCAAGTGTTTATAAATAAATATACACTAGAGTGATCAAACTCCTTCAAGCCCACATGTTTGCCTTTCACTACAGACATAGATAGGTTAAACACACCCTTCTTTGTTGGCTATCCAAGAAAACACTCCCTATTTCACATGGTCCCTAGTAAATGCTTTGCTTGATTTCTGATTTTAGCATCTTAGTCCTTCACATCCTATTATCATGCCCCTTGACACCTGAAGGCAAAATTAGTTACTTGACTTCCTTCTGATGCAAATAGTTAACAAGAATAAGAATTATACTGGCTCATAATTCAAGGATATTGTCCATCATGGTGGGAAAGATATGGCGGGAGGAGTCTGTGGGAGCTGGTCTCATTGCATTCAAAATCAACAAGAAAAAAGTAAAAACAATTTCTGCTCAGCTCCTGTTCCCTTTTCCTTAGTTTGAAACCTCAAACTATGGAATGGTCAAGTGATCTCATGAGCATTTAGTGTGGATCTTACCAACTGTAGTGAATCTACTCCCCCAAAAATCCTTCACAGTCATTCTCAGAGATTTCCATATCTATCCTAAATCCCATCAAGTTGAATTCTAGGGTACTCTCCATGGAAACTTGTTTGTTTGCCAAAGATGCAGTTCCTGGCTTCAGTTTATTGGATGAACCTTGAGGTATAAATGAGGCTCTCATAGCTAGCAGATTTTCCTAGTTAATCAACAGGTGCCCATTGTTCCTTCTCTTTGAACATATACACAAATAAAGAATCTTGGATTGACTGAGAAAGACATCCCCTAATAACATCAGCTTCTGTGGTCTGAAGCAAATGGAGTCCATGGATTTAGCTGGTGGTCCTATTTACCTTGAAAATAATACTAATACTCATTGTCAAGATTATTTTAGAAAAGAGATGGAGACTCCAATGCTGCCTTCCTTAACATACCTAATCATCCCCATTTGGTATTTTTTTCTGTATATTAGATACTTCATTTTTTTGAATGGCTAATGACATTTATTGAAGGAGGGATGTGGTCTTAAATACAGGCTTACAGCACAATGGGAGAACCTGAGGGCAGAAGCTTGCTACTAATGTATTACAATCTTCCATCTAAGCTGTTAATGCCCAATATGCAGGATATACAGACAAGGAACTTCCCTTAAGCATTCAGGAGGGTGTAACCCAGCAGGGAATTAGCATAGGGAGGATATCAAGGTCAAGGTCAGCAAGCAAGGCAACAGTTATCCAAAACGGGGGCCAGGGACATACACAAGTCCCCCCTTTTACTAAAAAATGAGCTTCTGATACTTCATTCCAAATTCACAGAAGTAATGAAATCTGAATGCAGAATTAAAAAGTTGCACCAGATTATAACCAGGATCTACTTCCCTGAATAGAATATTGTGTTTAGTTTTCTCTAATTTAATCACATGTATACTTCCAACCTAGCAAATCAACCAATAGCAAGAAGAGCCAGTTTTTCAAAGATGGTAAACTATTATCAAGCATTATTTCACACTGTGATGTTTTCCTTTAGTTTACAACAGGAAAACACTATAATATTTTCCTTTGTTAAATAATGAGTTTTCACTTTTTTTTTTTTTATTTTTTTTTTTTTTTGGTTTTTTTTTTTTTTTTCGAGACAGGTTTTCACTTTTATACATAATAGTCATAGAATATATCTCTAAATACTAGTAATTATCAATCTGTTCCTAGCAATTATTTTTATATATTATACTTGTAAAATTAATTTAGAAGTGTTGATCTCACATCTATGAACTACATAAAGAAATACTCTATAAATATTCTTGAAATTTAAAGAAAGAACAAAATTGAGAAGTGGAATACCAGAGCAAAGAAAGACTGTGAATGAATAAACTAAAATTATCTATAGCTATAACTCAAAGTATATATACAAACCAAGATGACCTTATGGGAGCAAAATTTCTTTTGTAAATAGCCAAATTTTAAGCATTTTAAAGCAGAAACCTCAGTTTGGTAATAAATTAAAATAGAAATCACCAACGACTTTCAATCTTAAATTGTGCACTTACCCAAGAAATAGACTCCAGCCTCAGCAGTGTTTTGTGGAGACACAGCAATATTAGCTCAGCTCTGGGGTATGATCTTCAGTGTGTGGAGGAGATAGATCTAGCAGTCTAGGAGCCACAAGATGTGGAGACTCACTCTGTCTGGTCTAGAGAAGAATGAACCTGGCTGGCCCCTGGAGTGTCCTTATATACTCTCTAAAGACCACGCCCACTTCCTCCCATGTTGCTTTTACTGATGCTTGCTGTATGTGAGCTCCTATGAATAGCAGTATTCTAAATGGATGGAAGATTGAATTAACTCTATGGCCAGTATCCACAAACAAATCTCCACAACAAGGTTTCCTGAGTTCCTGCTTAGCTGGGTGTGGTAGCTCACACCTTTAATCCATAGAGTCCTAGAGAATGGGCTGCTGAAGCAGGAGGAGTTTTAGTTCTAAAAAAATAAATAATAAATAAATAAAGAGAAGTTTTGCTCTAATATTTCACAGTTTCTAAATATTTTGTGGTGTGCTAATATTTTTGCTTTTCTTTTTATAATTTCACCGTTAATGATATCAATCTGTGATTTTAGCAAATATCAACATTAAAGAATTCTCAAAAATTCTTTAGAATTTTGTTCAACTCATTTTTATCATATTCACCTCAACTGTGATCCCTTTCTCTACCCACTCAACTGTCTGTTCTTTTCTTTTTTCATTTTTTAATAAATACTTGGGAAAGCCAGGCAGTGGTGGCACATACCTTTAATCCTAGCATTCTGGAGGCAGAGGCATGGAGATCTCTGTGAGTTAGAGGCTAGCCTGATATACAAAATGAATTCAAATCTGTGCTCCAACAATCCACAGAGAAACCATGTCTGAAAAAAAACAATACTTGATTAACTAAAACCCAAGTGTCTCTGATTTTTCTTGTAGGGAAATTTCTTGATTGAATCATTTGAAGTTTAGGTGGGAAGCCCCACCTAAACTCAGATGTTTGAGGTGTGGGAATCCACCTTAAATCTTAGCTGAAGGCAGCTATGTAAAAGGACATGGAAGAAGGAAACTCTCACATCTTTGCTCTTTGTTTTCTTGCTCTCACTCTCACTGAAAAGTTCATCCCTTCACTGGTATAAGAGCCTATTTTGGGGGAGAATTTCTGTGATGGTATTGTGTTCCCCAAAATATTGTGCACCCTAATAAACTTATCTGAAGTCACAGACAGAACGGCCACTTGATACAAAGGCTAGAAAATGGTGGCACTCACACCTTTAATCCTAGCATTCCAGAGGTAGAAATCCCTCTGGAGCTCTGTGAGTTCAATGCCCCATTGGAAACAGCCAGGCCTGGTGACACACACGTGTAATCCCAGGAAGTGAGCCTTTAATCCCAGGGAGTGATGGCAAAAACAGAACGATATATAAGGATAAGGCGTGAAGATCAGAAACTAGAAGCTTTTAGCTGGTTAAGATTTCAGGCTTGGGAGCAGCAGTTCAGCTGAGATTCATTCTGGATGAGGACTAAGAGGCTTCCAGTCTGAGGAAACAGGATAAGCTGTGGAACTGGCCAGGTAAGGTGGCTGTGGCCTGTTCTGTCTCTCTGATCTTCCAGCATTCACCCCAATACCTGGCTCAGGTTTGATTTTATTAATAAGAACTTTTAAGATTCATGCTACAGATTTCAAATTATACTGAAGAGAAGCTCATAGATCCAGCCTTGTAGAGTGAACCACTCCTCTCTCTCTCTCTCTCTCTCTCTCTCTCTCTCTCTCTCTCTCTCTGCATGTGTGCCCATATTCATTTAGTTTTTACTTATTGATCTAGAAGCTCACACCTGATTCACAGGTAAGGTGAATCAGAATGTAATCTGTCCACCAAGCCAGAAGAATGGGGCATGCCCAAAGACCCATGAACAGACTCTAAGGAGGCTGGGATGATCTCTGCAGAGATCTCATGACTGGCAAGGCTCAGAATGACTTTGAGTTCAACATCTATGTCACTGAGTGAGAGACTGAGACACAGGCAAGACTTTCCTCATGTACCTTCTGCACCATGGTGCCTTTACCACTGATCATCAACCTCTGGGAAGGCAGCCTTGGAGGTAAAGCTTCTTACCAGGTCAGCAACCTGGATTTCACAGAAGAGAGCCAAGAGTGTTTGGCATGAGCAGAGCCTGAAAAAGAGCAGATTCAATCCCGCTTCCTCTATCCATTGTCTAAAAGATCTGTGGATGGGAGCATATTGGTCAGGTGATTTTGAAAAATATGAATGGGCAGCTTCACCTCTTCTTCTGCTCCACCAGATTCAGTCCACCCAGTCTCAACCCCAGCTCTGTTGAAGAACACCTGCTGCAATGTCCCTTTCTTCTCTGACCCCATCCCCAGTGGACCACAAAGATCTTCTCCTACAACCTTCCTTTCCTCAACTGATCCCATTATTTCAAGCTCCCATGCCAGCAGGCATTCATCTGGAAAACACCAGGTGAACAGTCTAGGGAAACAAAGCCCTGAAACCAAACCACTGTAGGCAGACTTTTCTTTCCTGCCCACCAGGAAAGTTACCAAATAACTGACACTTAGAATTAATGCAAATTATACATGCTTGGTCAATAGCTAATTCTTATTACTAACTAATTCTTACAACTTAAATTAACCCATTTCTGTTAATACATAGGTATTGCCACATGGCTCATGGCTTTACCTG